AACTTGGTGGCCATCTTGCTGCATACATCGCGATAAAAACGTCGATCGCAGACCGTGCAACGGAGTGGCCATTTTTTTGCAGTTGCGTCACGATATAATGTGTCGATCAGAAAACTGAGCCATTATCTTATTGCCAGATGCATCGTGATAAAAATGCGACGATTGCGTAATTGAGCCGCCATCTTGTTTTGCAGACGCGCACGGTGTCTTCCTGAAGCAGGACGGTGAATACTCGGAACACGACGTCACCAACTGCCTGAAGCGATTCTTCCGCAACCTGTCGGAGCCACTGCTTACCCAAGACCTCTATCAGCTGTGGATGCAGACATCAGGTGGCGCCAGCATCGCGGTAGACTTTCTATGTGCGCGTTGTGTGGTAGCTGGTACATACAACATGCTGTTATTCAAATGGGTTGCGACTAGGTTAATCAGACTACTGAACGATCGGTGCTGCCACCGCCATCGACGTCTTGCACACTAATGTTGTTTTCGCGTTTTCTCTCGCAGAGGTTGCCGTGGAGAGTGCCAAGCTGTCGAAATACAAGAGCATCATTAACGAACTGTCGGAGATCAACTACCAGACGTTGAAGAAGTTACTCTGTCACCTTAACAGGTGAGAGAGGTCCCGGCTCGGTGACAACCCCACTTAGCGCACAACATAGGTTTACGTGCACTGTCTGTGCAAGATACACCCTCGTAATGCAACTGTCCTGCTGCAAAAATTGCGAACTGTGTGTACAAGTCTTTAACGCGTGCACACGCTCGTGTTTGTTTGAGTATCAGTACTGCAAACTCGCAAACCCAGCCCCTTAGCTTGTACATATGAGCATTTGTTAGGATCCGGACCCTCTGGATCCCCCCCCCCCTGTACACGCCCCTGGAATATACCAATGCCTACCTCAGTCTGTTCTGTATTGTATTGCCACAGATGGGGATGAAGGCGTAGACCAGCCATCCTACGTTTAATAAGTTACAGTATTTACCTGTGTATAAGTCGCACTTATTTGTACACAACTTCAATAAAAAAAATAAGGGGTCCGACTTATACATGAGGCTAAGAAATCTTGTTAATGTACCAATGTTTGTGCCAACTTTTCAAGGCAAAATATCGTGTGCGACAAACATGAATGCGACTTATACACAAGTAAATAAGGTAGGTTGCGTCTAGCCATCCTGCTGCCACTGATGCTGATAGGGTCTATGTCCCCCAGGATACTGCCGGAACGTACCCTGGGTACGGTCGGTATACCGGAACGTACCCTGGTATACTATCTAATATGCCGGACCGTACCTCGCCTACTCCAAACCGTACCCCGACTTTCAGCCGATGTCGTAATACATACCGCTTGTCGTCTGGAAACGCGCCGCTTTATGCTCCCTTTCCTTGTTTCCGGTCCGTTCCTGCAAAATATTCGTAACCCTTACCACAGACTAATGGATACTGTATCCGTTAGTCTGTGCCCTTACCCTGTTACGTTTCACCTCCCGACCCTTTCTACAAGTGTCAGCGAGTCTATACGTTTCCAACCCATTAAGATAATCATACAAATTTTCAAACACTTGGAGCCATTTTCAAAAATCTCGCGCGAAAATGTCGTAAACATTTGCGAAAGGAAAACGCATTCCCGATCATCGCGATATTTGCAAAAGGATTGCGCGCATCAGTGTATATAGGTTGAAATTTCTTCTTGGTTTCACATTTTCATACTCCAATCCAACTTTATAAAGATATCATACAGGTCTGTATGTATATTTCAAATTTTGTGACATCAATAGTGGGCGGAACAGGGACAGTCAGGGTACGGTGGGGAGTAAGCGAGGTACGGTCCGGCATATCAGATAGTTACCAGGGTACGTTCCGGCAGTACCCTGGGGGACATAGACCCTATCAGCACCACCGGTCACAAGCCTTGCAGCGGAATCATTTATACGCATGTGTGATGGCGCCTCTTGTTTATCGCAGAGTGTGGCGCCCTCTACGCTGGTGACGAACTGCTGCACGGGTCTTGCGGAGGTGGAGCGCAGTGGGTATCTGTACATAATGGATGGATCACACGAGGTGAGATATTCGCAGTCTGCTCACACTTACTGAGGTCGGTCAAACTAGAGCTGTTGGCACGTTTTTGGCTGTACGTGCCACGCAATCTTGTATCATGTCTCTCTGGATTACATGTTTGGCTCCCTCTGGTGGCAGGAATGGCAACTATGCTGGCTGGACATCAGTGCAAAGCACCTGCTCTGGGCTGCAGAGGGCACCACCTCGATGAACGTGCTCGATCTACGAAAGTCCACCAGTATATGTACGTGTTTGTTGCTCCACCAGGGCGGCGCCAGTCGTCACGACGTCATCACGTCTTAGTCGTTCGTTTAAAAAGATATAAATTAATAAAAAATAATATAAAATAATAAAAATTAATTAATCGATGATAATTAGGATAACATTGCCTTCCATATAGTGTCACACTTGATTAGTCACACTTTGAGGTGACACCTACCAGGGCGGCGCCAGTCGTCACGAGGTCATCACGTCTAAGTCGTTCATTTAAAAAGATATAAATTAATAAAAAATAATATAAAATAATAAAAATTAATTAATCGATGATAATTAGGATAACATTGCCTTCCATATAGTGTCACACTTGATTAGTCACACTTTGAGGTGACACCTAACAGGTCATTGCACTAGTGCTTATTAC